ATTTTCTAAATCTGAAATTTTACATGTAGTGACCTAATTATAATTAAAACAAAAAGAATGACAATTAAGCGGTTGCATTCGTTAAATTGTTTACGAAAATATTTTCATTTCACGTGTACTCGATTATCTTTTGTAAATTTTTAATATTTCATCACAACTGACATACTTAAAGTTTCATTATAATGCTATCTTTCATCATCATAATATTATTTCTCGCATTATTTCTCATCATCAAGATTTATCTATTAAAATTATCTTTTGTAATAAATACAGTAATTAATAATAAATCTAAATAATTTTAAGCCATATTAATTTTTTATATTTATATTTACATTCTCAATAAGATAAGAAGAAGGTTGTTTTGAAACAGCCTGAATAAATTTTTGCACCTTTCAGTCTATATACATGATGATATTATTAGAATTAAGCAGAATTTGATATCATAAATTTTTATTTAACATCGCATAGGAATAGGAATTACAGTGTGAAAAATTTTGTAAACATACGAAGCAAATATTACGTGTATATATTTGCTGTAATGGACTGAAGGCATCGAATATGTGATAACAATCTTTTTTAAAATACTTTCGAAACCAAAAGATTTCTGAAAATCTTGAATATTTTAAACATACTGAAAGTCTCTTGAAGTTTTGAAGATATAATATTTTTTTTTATAATATAATTTTTATATAATTTATCTCAATACATTTTCCATTTTATATAATGAACAATAATATTAGACGTTAATAATATTAGTATCAATTTTATTTTTTAAGTTTTATTTTCAATATTTTGAATAGATGTTTTAATAATATATGGAATGGATGTTTTCCAGAAAAAATTTTTTTGGATGTTTCTGAAACTTTCAATAATTTTTAGTTTTAAATCATTCGAAGCAATTGGAATTATTTAAAGAATTTTTATGTGTATTTTTATTTTATCGAATTATTTGGAAACCATCAAAAGAAAACTCTTAAATTACTCTTAAATTACTCTTACTTTTACATGTTATGTCAGAATCAATTCTAGCTTTGAATTAATTAAATATTCGCTACGCGTTTTATCACTTACGTGACATTATCGTTGTATGCATTTTCTCAAGGTTTGCGACAATTAGCATAATTAACCCTTACTGACCTAGTATCGGCGGTAGTATATATGCATATTATTAAAATCTAGAATTATTCGCATCACAATAATTCATTAAATATGGCACAACATCATTGTCGCAAATATATTAATATTTAATAACTATTAATATTTAATATATAATTCCTCGATTTAATATCATAAGGTTAATAATTTTATTATAATATCTTTTTATTTTCGAAC